CCTCCCAAGTAGCTGGGACCACAGGCGCCCACCACAACGCCTGGCCATTTTTTGGTTGCAGCTGTCATTGTTGTTTGGCGGGCCTGAGCTGGGGATTCGAACCCGCCACTTTAGGTGTATGTGGCTGGTGCCTTAGCCGCTTGAGCCACAGGCGCCGAGCCACACTCATAGCTCTTTACACGAATCATTTGTCAATTGGTACCACCATACAATACCCATTAATGTGCAAATGAAACTCAGCAGAAAAAGGTGTGAGGCAAATGATGACAAATTATAATGTATAAAAGATAAATCCATAAGACACTGAGGAGGAGAAATAGGCCAATGTGAAGAGCAAGGAGGGAGAAACTGGTAACACCAGTTCCCTCTGTGTAGAGAACTGGAGACCAGGACATGGAGAAGGCTAAGAGCACAGAGAGACTGTCACTCTAGCTCTTCTGAAACTTTCCTGTTTTAGAGCTTTTAAATATATTTCTTATTCTAAAAATATAAGTTTCTACAAATATCAGGGGCAAAAGGATAAAGAGAGAAACAGCTTGCTCCTGGTGAGGGTGCCCCCAGCCCCACCTCCTGGGCTTCCTCCACCCTCAGCCACAGATAGAGACCAAGAGAGCAGACACACAGCCTGCGGGTCCCAGGCTTCCCTGCAGGGGCCCCAGCAGTTTGCACAGTGGTGTTTAACTTCATTTGCATGAGAGTCTTCCAAAGTTCAGAAGACTTTCCTCCTGTGTATCAGGGTTTAGCATTTGCTCCAAGGTTCCCCATGAGCCCCTGGGCAGAAGCAGGAGAAGGAAAGAGAAGGCAGTGCCTGCAGGACCCAGAGGCTGGCAGGCACAAGGCCAGCACCGCCGCACGTGCTGCGAAACTCTCCCTGCATCACCTGCAGGAAAGTGTTACCGCTCCCAGTTTGGAGAGAGGGAAACCAAAGCTTGGAGTTTGAATGGTTTGCTCATAGCTGTAGAGGTGACCAGGAAGGGAGGCAGGAGACTCCTGGGCTCAGAGTGGTTCCCCATAGGGACTTGGGCGAGGTGAGCTAGCCCCCTGAGGTCCAGGGCAAGCACTTAGCAGGTTCCCTAATTCCATGGCCCCTGCCTTCTGAAGAGCTAGAGGAAGATGGGCCTGAGTTGGAAATTCTGTGAAACTCACTATAATGACCACTGGGGAGTCTTATCATTTAGTACAGTGGTCTTTGGACACTTGGACGCTAGAAGTTCTGCTCCATGAAGAACCACTGTACTAACTTTCTTTTGCCTGGAAGAACAGCCCAGCAAGGGCTAAGTCCCTCCCTTGCCCACCATCATGCCAAGGTTAACTGCAGGCCTCCAGGTAGGGCACACGGGATCTCCACAAACCTCCCAGCCCAGCCCTGCACATCCAGGTCCTTACCAAACCAGGAACTCTCATACCATTTATTTCCATATTTCCAGATGAAGGACTCAATAATTAATTAATGCTTCCATTTTTCTAGAATAAGGGCTTGATACTAATTAATGCTTTATAATGAATTTAAAATAATTATCCCCCCCATCCCAAATGCTATGGTGTCAGCACAGGTGAACTTACTAACAGAGGCTGTCGGCTAGTGGGTGGCAGAAGCAGGGGCTCCAGCAGCCTAATTGCAGAGCACAAGCTCTCAGCAGAGCACTGAGCTGCCACCCCAGCCAGCTTCCCCAGGCCCCAGTTCCTCAGTGGGAAAACAGGAATAACACCAGGATTTTACAGGGTTCCTGAGATAAAATGTGTGTGCTTGTTCAACAATAAAACACTGATAAATATGAAAGATTATTCCTCCTGATCAATTCACAGTTAGACATGCTGTGCAAGCAGGCCTGGGTAGGGAAACATATTCCAGTCTTCAAACGACCAGCACAGAACGATGAAAGCTTGCCTCCCAAGCCACTCATAAACTGAGGCTATCCAAAGTGGCAGAGAGGCTGTGGGCCTGCTTGAGCACCCCATGGCACGGTGTCTCCAGAGCTGTCCCTTTGGGTAGGCAGGTCACAGCCGATGGCACAGCTCACTCCTCAGGGGCACAGTGTAGGAAGCAGGGACCCGGCAGCACACAACCATAGGCCTGGCCACTGCCCGGCTGTGCCTGGATGGGGACTCTGGGTGGTGCCCAGCCATCTCACCGTCGGTGGTGCAGCAGCCCTCAGGGGGAGGGTGCAGCTGGTAAGGATTCGGGAGACTGTTTGGCTCCAGCCCTCCTTCTCCTTCCTCTTCCTCTTCCTCATTGTCTGCTCGGCCACCACCTAGACGTGGGGAAGAAGAATGATGAGAAAGGCAGGGCCGGCCACCCTGGAATCCTCGGGCTCAGGAGGGCACAGGACCACCGGACCAATCCAGATGGAGTTCCATCTTTCTAGCTGGTAAATAACTGGTCCTCACAAACACACCGTAAGGGAGGCATTGTCATCCTTCTTCGTTTACTAGAAGGAAAAGCTGAGGCTCACTCACGCGGCACAGAGACTCAGGTCCCAGCCTGGCCGCAAGACTTCATGTCCAGGTCCACATCTGTTTCATCCGCCACAGCTGCACACATGCTAGGGGCTCATCTGTATACAAGTGCTCCATAAGGATCGAGCACGCTGGCTGCCCATGGTAGGCCCTCCAGAGGTATTGGTGTGGGAGGCCCCATGGTTTATGACACAGACTGTTTTATAAATAAGGAAACAGAGGCACAGAGAGACCCAGTGACTGGGTCACAGCTCTTCACCTAACTGCCAAGCAGCACAGCCTGCGTGTTCCCTGTTGTGTCTGAGGCCCAAGCTGATGTTCTCACCACTAAACTGCACGGCTGAGTTTAGGAGACAAAAATATTAACATAAGTAGCACAAAGTGCCTTTCCATAGTGGGAAGGAGCTGTAAGTTGCTGAGCATCTGATCCTGCGTCTTTAAAACAAGGCAGTTAATCCAAAAGAATCCTAAGGTCGCTGGGGGCTGTGATGGTCTACGTGGGAAAACACGGCCCTCAGAGTTGCACAGAGCCCCAGATGCGATTTAGACAGCTCTTTGCACTAGGAGTGGAGGCACAATGGCTGCCTGTGGGCCAAAGAGGGACAAAACAACATTGCAAGCAGGTGGGGACGGTGACTTTGGGAGGTCGCAGCAGGAAGCAAAGCAAGGATTCCTGATATCTCAGCCGTTCTGGGCCTGGAGGACACACAGGTGGTGGGAAGGCTGTAAAAAGATTACCCACGGGAGGGAGACGGGATAAATGCCTGAGCCTCCCTCCAGTGCCTTCTTCCTGTCATTAAATGCAGGCGCCTCCAGGTTTTAACAGAAAAGAGGTGACCCCAGGCGCCAGCAAGGCAATGCAGGGCCCCACCTGGGTGGCACAGAAGACTGTGAAATCCACTCTCATCTCTGGGCCAGGACTCCAGAGACTCAGAAGTGGGCAGCCTGGACACCAAGCGTCAGAGTGAAAAAAGGAGAGAAAATCTCATGGCAAATGAAACAAGCAGCCCTCAAAGCCCGAGCCTTCAGAGCCAAGGGTGCACACGGGAACGTCTGCACGTTACTCTGCTAAAGCAACAAGAACAGGAATTCAGACCCTGGGAAAGAATGAAAGAGGGGAGTCTTAGGCTTCAGAAAGTCAAAGAAAGAGCTGGACATCCAGTCAGTAAGAAAGCAGGATTACAGGTCAAAGGTCCACATCAGACATCCCCAGGCCTCTGATGGGCCCCAGTCCCATAGAAGACTGAACCAGGCGTGTTTACTGAGCTCTGCCTGCAGGACGAGAGCCGTAAAACTGTATTAGACAGAACCAACCAGATTGGGAGCTGAGAATCGTAATAATAAAACTCAGGAACTCAGAGTCCCTCACTCCACCAAGTACATACGAGGCTATTCATTTTAAAGCTTACATTCAACTTGGTTCTCCTTCCTTGAGAAGAAACTGCAGGACCTTCTGAGTGGGTGGGATTACAGAAATTTACCTGTTTAATTGATATACTTATCCTCAAATGCTGGGGTAGTTTTTGTTTCATTGATCTTTCTTAAAAGAAAAAAAAAGGAATCAATAATGTACAAAAGGTCCTTGCCTTTAGAAGGAGGTAGTGGGTAAGAACTCTAATCCAGAGAACAAAGTAGTAAGACCCCTGCTAAATCCCCCTCAACCAACACATGACGTGTTAACAGATCCAGGGGGTGTTTGGTATACTGGCACCCTGGTCGTAAAAATCATCTTTAATGGTATTGTCTGAGGAAAGCAAGAAATAAGATAAGAGACCCTGACAGACAGACAAAACAAGATAGGGCCCAGGCGAGGGCCAAGTTTTACGATTGGGCTGAGTGCTTGGTTTATGGGGACATTTAGCAAACCAAAAGCGTCTGTCCCTTCCCACTAGGCCTCTAAACCTCCTTCTTTTCCTGCACTAAAAAACCCCAAATCTCAGGAGATTTCTGTATGCTGGACAAACAGGAAAAACCATAGAGCAGACTTGTTTGGTTTACAGACCAACGTGGAGGTTGAACAAGCCTGCGGGCAGCTGGCAGGGAACCTCTACAGTCGGCACCACAGGGACGTAGAGACTGAGCCTCAAAGCTGTCCCTGGAAAGTGCCACCATGTCAAGCAGCAGAGAAGGGCATCCTGAGCACTCAGACAGCCTCCCAAGAAGAGGTGAGACAGAGGAGGCCTGTCAAATCTTCAAACAGGAGCAAAAGCTGATTAGGAGTCCTCAGAGTCTCCCCTGCCCGGCTCCCCAGGTGGGCAGCCCCAGCCAGCTTAACCGCTCCTCTGCCTCCTTTTTATCTCAGAGCTGCCAAAGCTGAGCTGCAACTGTTGCTCAGGTGCTTCTGCTAAACTTCAAGCAAATCAGCCTCGAATCCTCCCAAATCATGGGATCTCATTACTTTGGCTTGTGGAGGTAAAAACACTTTGCTGATCTTAAGGTAACATCCAAAGGCACTAAATTATCATTATTACTATTACTAATTTACCATTAGCAACAAAGCTTTTCGATACTATTAAGAAGTTAAGGATGGCCACACACATCCCACGAAAGTCTTGCGACTAGCCAAAACCACAGGCTCTCCAGTCATTTTTTTAACTCCCCACAATGTCACAGTAATGTGTTCTGTGCCAGAAAACATTAGCACTTTCAATGTGAATACCAGAGAATTATTATGCTTCCTAATTCGTAGCTTTGACCACAATCTCATTTCTCACAGGCTCAGAGCCGGTCCTTCCAGGTCTTTAGAGGGAATATTTGCAAGGTTGATTTAGGAAGGACGTTTTAAACAGTTACACAGGAATGCCTCCCTGCTAGAATCAGGAACTGTCACATATCACACCAGCTGGAACACAAGCACCTCTGTGCCCTTCTTTACGCTGTACGGTCTCCAGCCTGCCATCCCCACACACTCACATGTACACGCACACTCATGCACACTCATGTGCACTCACACAATCATATAGATTCATACACTCATGGACACTCATGTGCACTTTCACACATGCAATCACACTCACATGCACTCATACACACTATCGTGCACTCACACATGCACACATTTATGAATTCACACTCACACACTTATGTACTCACCCACATGCACAGAGTGATCTGAATTCAGGCACATGCACACACTCATGCACATACACTCACACACATGCACATACTCGTATGACCTCATACTACATACATGCACACACACACACACACACAAGATCATCTCTGGCATCCTGAAGGCTTTCTTGTTTAATTTGAGTTCACTAACCAGGGCCCCTTTTCACTTCAATAGCTAAATGAGGTCTGCAGATAACTTCAATCATAAACTGTACTCTTACAAAAAGAACTTCCAGAACAGTAGCTGTCTCATACTACAGATAGCTGAGAGGTTACATGAACATACGTGGCTATACAAAACAAATCGTTTTATTCTCTGGATAATTAAGTCAACCTTTAAGTCATCCCCATGCCTGAAGATATTTCGTTTATTCTTAGAATATGTTCAATTCATAAGGGTTTGCTCTTGGTTTTTAAAAGTTCCCAAAAGGCTTTTGCACCTGCTATCACAAAGAGAAATTGCCTTGACTACTTGGCAAAGATATGGCCATGAATCACAGGACACAAAGAAAAACCATATAACAGGGGCCAAAGCATGTTAACATTTCTTACTTATCCAAATAAAAATATCAAACCTCCTACTAATAAAAGTGTAAGCAACAACCAATTCAGAACAATTTGCCCACCTTTATTTCTCCTGCTAATTCAATGAATAATTTTTTTCCTCGCAACTTTGCAACAAAAACTTATCTTAATTTCACCCAAGTAAGAACGTGTGTGCAACTTTCTTTTTCTAAGAATTCTTTTCTGCTAGGCTCAACATTTTCTACACAGAGCAGAAGAGCAAAGAACTTCAAGCTCTGTTGCTCGCATCAAAGTGCACCCAGTAAAAGAAAGAATCAAAAGAAAGAAAAAGGAAATCCTACCTTCCAGAGAGGAAAGGTGCTGCTCAGCTTCCAGGTACAGCTGGGAGAAGATGGGCCTGGGCACCAGGTTGTTGGAGCGCAGGGAGGCCTCGATGGAGTTGTGCAAGACCTCTTCAAACCGGGTCGTCTTCAGCTGTCCAGCGTAAGAATTTCCCATCTTCAAAAGAGAGGATGGAGCCTGCTTTTTAAAATGGCATTTCAGTTTTGGTGAAAAAGACTGACTCCACACACAAAGCCCAGTGTAGAAGGAAAAACAGCTGCAAGGTGGAAGGGCCGTGTGGTCTCTACGCAGCAAAGACCCGGAGAGGGCGGCTGTCCTCAGCTCCAGCGACTGCCAGGCAATTACAGGAAGTTATGTAAGTAACAGCTTTCTCTCATTTAGCACTCAGCATGGCCCAACACCTTTCAGAATATGCCTCTGGAAACTGCCTCTTCACCATCCTCCAGTTCACAAGACACCCCCCCTCCTTTCCCAGAGATGTGACCCTGCCCCCGAGGCTCCCAGAGAAATGACGCTCCATTTTCCATGACCTGCAGACCACATATGATTTTTGTGAGGGCAACTGAGGAATCCGCGGCAGCCAGTCCCCAGATTTCAGGGTCACAGGAGTCAGCCTCCCTTACTTTCCCCCGAGGTGGGCTAGCAGATTTCTCATCGCTGCCTTTTCTGGCAGAAGGCTGATTATTAGCATTCTTCCTTTAAAACGTTTCTCACTGTTCTCCGTGTTTCCATGACACAAGTAATGCAAAATTACATCTGAAAAGCTTGAAAATGTGGAAATGAGAGAAGAGGATGGGAAAGCAAGAGGAAAATCACTGACATTTCTAGCCCCTAAGATAACCATTGTGGTTTTTTTTCCTCCAGAGCAGCTTAGTAAAGGATTCACTGTCGTACAATCCATTTCAGAACACTTTCATCACCCCAAAAAGAAAGCCACGCCCATCACTGCCCAGGGCAACCCCCCCACCCAGCCAGAGGCAACAACTAATTTATTTTCTGTCTCTATAGATTTGCCTATTCTGGAACATTTCCTATAAACGGAACCATTCATGGTGAGGTCTATCTTGACCGGGATTTTTCACTGAGCACAATGTTCCCAGGATGCATCTGTGTTGCAGCATGAATCAGCACTTCATTCCCACTGTGATGTTCCCCCCTGCCCCGCATTCTTTATAGACGTCATTCTCTTCCGAACTTGCAGACAGAAGGGATGGGGATTAAAGTCACAGAATTACGATCATTCTAATACCTCTTTTCACTTGGCATAAGCATTTTATCCAAGTACTTTTAAAACTGTTGTCCCGGCTGCATAATATTCCACAGGATGAAAATGCTAATATTTGCTCAGATATTTCCCTGCTCACACATACGGTTAGATTTCTATCTTTAGTCCTTCCCAAGAGCAGCTAAAAGGATGTCCATCCCTAATGCTTACTGTTTATTTTCTATTTTGTTAAATGTAGCACTATTTCCATTTGGTTTGATTTGTTGTACATTTTCTAAACTTTTACAAATAATTACTTTATTATCACCTTTTCTTTTCATCTTCTTTAACAACAAAGACACTGAAGGCTATGCTATGGGGCGTAGGGTTAGTATTAAGGGTTCTCCTTTCATTCCTTTCTAGACGGATTATGATCTTTCTTCCTTTTGATACTTTCTTTTTTATTGGCCAGGGCTGGGTTTGAACCTGCCACCTCCGGCATATGGGGCTGGCACCCTACTCTTTTGAGCCACAGGCACCACCCCCTTTTGATACTTTCTTCCATCCAATAATTAACTTGGAGTGTGTGTTTAATTGTAAATAGTCAAGATTTGAGCAAGAGGTGGGGTCAGCCTCCTATCATTTATTTCTAGCTTTCATTAGATTATAATCAAGGTTGTGGTCTTTAGAAACTCCACTTTTTCCAACTGTAAGGTTTCTTTTTGCCATGTCTGCCAGAATTTTACAGGTCTGAGAAAAGAAGATATCTTTCGGGAAGGAAGGAGACAGATTATTCAATTATTCTATATTCTTATATATTTCCCATCTACCATACTATTAATTTTCAAAGCAGCATATAACTTATAAAATAACACAAGCTGTGCTGCCCACACTGAAATAGCCACAGGACGGTGGTTTTCTTCCTCTTCCACCCCACACATGCTGGGTATGTGGCTGGTTCCTCCACCAGCCAGGCAAAACCTCGCACACTACCTCAACCCAAGGCATGTGTGATGTATCCCCTCATCCTTGTTCTGCTGGTGGCAGGGCAGTTTCAAGATGTCATCCTTGATGCCCTCAAGGAGCTCTGGCTTCCCTCCTGAAGGTAGGGGAGCTGGCATGGTCACGCTTTGCCCCTATTTGTAAGGAAGGATCAGCCTTTCCTCCTCCAACTAAGAGTAAATAGAAACCATTAAACACTTCCTGAGAGTGGCAGTAACTCCTGACCACAGGGCCCCTTGGCCAGCCTCTGCTTACAGCCCTGGGGAAATGAGCTGAGTTGGATCACTTCAGGAATTAGCCTCAACAAAAAGAAAGTGCTCCTGAAAGCCAGGGGGCAGCGGGGGCAGGGAGGCCTCAGGGCCCTCTCACCAGCTTCTTTCCTGACTGCACACACTTCGCCACACCACTGAGGAGTTCCCGCCACCTGGGGAGCACATGCTTTGCTCTCAACCCAGACACTGTGGATTAATGACGTCACAGACGCCTCCTATTCCTACAGCATCTTTGTCTGAGGAGCTTAAGGCATGCAGGCAGAAGCTGGAAGTCAGGCCCTATGGAACTGTGCCCTGCGAACAAAAGAGCCCAGTGGGGCTCTTCAGACCTGTCCCAAAGCCCTGTCCAGCTCACCTGACAGCTGACTGCTGCCCACAGGACTCCACAGTGGAGGCATCTCGGTGTCTAACGTGGACAGCACAATGAAGGGGAAGAAGGAAACTAACAGTCATCGTCCGGCCCCTGTGCACAGGCCCTGGGGACGGGCCCCACTTAGCACGTGTGGTAGCCACGGGGGCAGTGGTATGAAGCTCATGTTCCAGATGATCAATTCAAATCACAGAGACTCAGAACCTAAAGGAACTCTTGTTGAAGGAGAAGAAACAGAATGGGGTCCGGGGGAGAGAGGCAGAGTCGGGAGAAGCAAAAAGATCTCAGCAAAGAAGAGCTTCCACTCTCAAAAACAGGGAAATCTCGTTCTGTAGCCCTAAACAAACGTCCACGTTTTAATTCCATAAGTGAACAGTGCCACAGGAATCATGCCAGTTTGCATCTCGCAAGGCAGATGAAATCACACCATAGGTCCAGCCTGGTAAATAAGAACAAGGCTGACACACGGAAAACAGCTCTGAAAGCTGTTATTGTTTTGTTATTACCTATTGGACCACATCCAGATAGTGCAGGGACTGCCTAGACACCACAGCACTGCTCTGTCGTCCAGACTGGGCCTGACCTCAAAGCCACTCCTGCCAGGTGAGGACGGTTTGGGGCAGTCTGTGCTGGACACGCACCTGGAGCTCTCTGGATGGGGAGAAACCCAGACTTGACTGCCAGGGAACTAAAGACCTGGACAGAGGAGAGCCTCGCTCAGGGTCAAACACCAAAGTTCAAATTCTCCTAAATGCCTCATGTAATAGACAACCAGTGCCTGGGAAAGGCATCCTTGGGCTTCTCCTTCTCTCCCTGCCCTGGCCCTGACCACTCACTCCCTGTCTGCAGTCTCTTCATGGGACTCCTGCTACAGCTATTCAATGTGCAGACTGCCTCCAGGGTTCCTTCCACACCCTGACACACACGGTGGCCGCTGACTATGTGGCAAGGCCCGCACTAGCTCCCCTTGACACTGACGCGGGCAGGGCACTCTTGGACTGCAGAACTGAGGAGTGCCCGTCAGAGCGGAGACAACCACAGCCACAGCCCTCACTTAATGCACAAACGCCTGGCTGTTGCAGACTGGAAGGAACACGTGTGACCCTGAGCAAAGTGCTTTCCACCAGACTTCAGTCTTCTCATGCATTAATATGACACTGGGCACTCAAAGGGAGTAAAGGAGACCGAGTGTGTGAAAGTGCCTAGCACAACACCCAGTAGTCAGCGCAAGATCGTTAATTTCGAGCTGAATATGAGCATTCACATGAAAAGGCAAAAATTTCAGATCATACATGGCAAGCGACAAAAAGTACTGTTGCCCTTATGTGCTACAAGTTGAGAATGTGGAGAACTTGCTGAGAATCTGAGTAGCTAAAAGGGCTGGTACTTGAAGTGGACCAGTAGGATAAGCAGGATTTTTTTCTTTTTCTTTCTTTCTTTTCTTTTTCTTTCTTTTTTTTTGAGACTCACTATGTTACCCTTGTTAGAGTAACCAGTCTACCCTGGGGTTGAGTGCCCTGGCGTCATAGCTCACAGCAACCTCAAACTCTTGGGCTCAAGCAATTCTCTTGTCTCAGCCTCTCAAGTAGCTGGGACTACAGGCACCCACCACAACACCCAGCTATTTTTTGGTTGTAGTTGTCATTATTGTTTGTCAGGCCCAGGCTGGGTTCAAACCTGCCACCTCCACTGAATGTAGCTGGCACCCTAGCTGTTGAGCTACAGGTGCTGCTGAGGCGATAAACAGGATTTTTTTCTGGCAAAAATTTGAGAACGGCATTTGAGAAAGGCACAGTAGTAGAGTGCAAAGGCTTAGAAACTCCCAGGGAGCAGACATACTCTAGAAAAAGAATGAAATTTATTTGTAAATGGTTTACAGGATGACACAATGGTAGAATAACACAAGCAACCCTAAGGGGAAAAAAAAGACATTGTGTTCCCTTTTTTTTTTTTTTAGACAGAGTCTCACTCTATTGCCCAGACTAGAATGCCGTGGCATCAGCCTAGTTCACAACCTCAAAACCTGGGTCAAGCAATCCTCTTGCCTCAGTCTCCCAAGTAGCTAGAACTACAGGCACTCACCACCACACCTAGCTAATTTTCCTATTTTTAGTAGAGATGAGGTCTTACTCTTGCTCAGGCTGGTCTCCAACTCCTATGCTCAAGAGATCTTCCTCATCAGCCTTGCAAGATGCTAAGATTACAGGCGTGAGCCCTGGCAGCCTAGTCATTGTATTTAATAGTCAAAGGAGCTGCAAAGCCTAAGTTTTACGGTGAGGAAGGTCCTGTTTCAGGCAGGTTAGAGATATTTGTACTAAACCTGGAGGGAGACGTAGAGGCAAGAGGCCTAGTGGACACTGTTTCAGTTGGACCTTTGACACCTGCTTGTTTTTAAGAGGCACAAAATGTTACTTGCAAATTTGGTGCACAGGGGTGCAGCTGGTTGATTGGTGGGCCTCATAGGAGGTGATTAGATGGGGATCTCT